GAGCGGAGTTTAGGGCTGTTGTACATAGGGTCGCTATGAGTCGCAGGCGACTCGATGGCACATAACAACAACAACAACAACAACATATATAAAGACAAAGTGTTATATTCTCAATTAAGTGATAAAATTAAACTGCCATGTATCTTAAAAGCTATTTTAAGAAAAGTTTGAAACACAATGCATACACATTTTGTTTGCAAACAAACATAAAAGAAAAAGAAAATGGGAAAAAAAACTGCAGTAAATTTTTATTAATCCTGGATATTTACATTAAATGTCAGTCTGGGGAAGAATAATAAAAGTGATTAGCAAGGTATAGCTAAAGTATTAACTTACTGTTGTTACGTGCCATTGAGTTGCCTGCAACTCTTAGTGTCCCTACATATAACAGCCCTAAACGCTGCTCTATTCTGTGTCAATCTGTCTCTGACACACCTACCCCCATTAAGCTCATCACTGAAACAATCCATCTCATCAAGGTCTTCCTCTCTTGTGCTATCCCTCTACCCACCCAAGCATGACATCCCTCTCCAAGGACAGGTCCCTCCTTGCAACATGTCCAAATTATGTGAGACAAAGCTTCAGAATCCTTGCTTCAAAGGAGCAGCCTGGTCTCACACTCTCTAGGATGAACCTGTTTGTTCTCCTAGCAGTTCATGGTATATTCAATACTCTTCACCAGTACCAAAGCTCAAAGGTATAAATTCTCCTTATACCATGCCGAGTCACTGTCCATCTTTCTGACGTATAGCAAGTAACTACAAAGCCCATGGCCTGGGTCAGGCACACCTTAGTTTCCTCCAGACCAACACTGTTGCTCTTCAGTATTCTGGAGAAGACTTTCCCAATGCAATTCATCTTTTAATTTCCTGGCTGCTGGTACCAACAGTGTTGATTGTGGAGCCAGGCAACTAAAGCTGTTAACAATCTCAATCTCTTCACCATCTATCATGATGCTGCCAATAGGCTCAATGGTAAGAATCTTTGTTTTCTTGATGTTAAACTTCAATCCATATTGAAGGCTATATTCCTTGACCTTCTGCAGCAAATGCTTCAGGTTCTTCCCAGTTTCAGCAAAGCAGGATTGTGTCATCTGCATAACGCAGACTGTTGATGAGTTTCCCTCCAATCCTAATGCCACCCTTCTCCTCATACATCCCAGTTCTGCATCTAGATTGAAAAGGTATGAATATGACACATTCCTAGCTTACACCCTCCCCAATTTTGAACCATGCAGTGTTTCCTTGCTCTGTTCTGACAACTGCTTCCTAGTCCAAATACAGGTCTTGCATAAGTACAATTAAGTGTTTTGGGATTCCCATTCTTCTCAGAGTCAGCCAAAGCTGCTTGTGATCCACACAATCAAAAGCCTTTGCATACTTCACAGTTTGCTGTGAATTACAGTCAAATGCCTTTACATTGTCAATGAAAAGTATTAAATAGATACTGCTATTTAGGGGGAGGAGGACTTGAGGTGTTTACTGCAGAAGGTCAAGGAATGCAGTCTTCAGTATGGATTGAAGCTCAACACCAAGAAAACAAAAATTCCCACCACTTAGTCAATTGGCAGCATTGTTATTTCAACTTGCTTGGTTCCACAAACAACACCCGTAGCACCAGGACTCAGAAAATCAAAAGACAAATTCCATTAGGAAAACCTGCTGTCATGAACCTCTCCAGAGTGATAAAAAGCAACGATGTCAGACTCAAGACTAAGGTGTGCCTGATCTAAGCCATGGTCTTCACAATTACTTGCTATGCATCAGAGAGCTGGACAATAACTAAGGATGACAGAAGGAGGATCAATTCCTTTGAGTTGTGGTGCTAGAGAAGAGTTTTGAACTTATCATGGATTGCCAAGAAAACAAACAGGTCTGTACTAGAGAGGGTCAAACCAGGCTGCTCCAGCCTTGGAGGCAAGTATTTTGAAGGTCTCTCATATACTTTGGGCATGTTTCCAGGAGGGACCAGTCCTTGGAGGACACAATGTTTGGAAAGCTGGAGGGACAGCACAGGCAAGGAAGACTCAAGATGACATGAAGTAACATAGTAATTGGGATAATGGGAGCAGGAGTGTCAGAGGC